AAAACATCCTGACTTTGTCGTTAGTTTGACACATAGAGAAATTGAATCATTGAATGTCCGTTTATGGAAGTTTAACTGTACCTGTCAAAATGTGATTCCCTTATGATTATTCATTGTTTAATTTTTTATAATCTTCAAAGTTCCATTTATGGATGTTTGGCAGTACCTGTCATAATATGTTTCACTCGTCCATGTTTTATTTTTCAGACTCAGGAAATGTGTATGCCTGGGGAAAGAATAGGAGTGGTTGTTTAGGATTATATGTACAGCGAGACCAGTTTTATCCTCTCAAGGTGAGGAAACATCAGTTACTTACACTCCAACTCCAGCTGTTACTTACACCCCGACACCAGCTGTTAATTACCCTCCGACACCAGCTGTTCCTTACACTCCGACTCAAGCTGTTACTTACACTCCGACTCCAGCTGTTACTTACACTCCGACACCAGCTGTTACTTACACTCTGACACCAGCTGTTACTTTTACTCCAACACCAGCTGTTACTTCATTCCAACACCAGCTGTTACTTACACTCTGACACCAGCTGTTACTTACACTCCGACACCAGCTGTTACTTACACTCCGACTCAAGCTGTTACTAACACTCCGACTCCAGCTGTTACTTACACTCCGACACAAGCTGTTACTTACACTCTGACACCAGCTGTTACTTACACTCCAACTCAAGCTGTTACTAACACTCCGACTCCAGCTGTTACTTACACTCTGACACCAGCTGTTACTTACACTCTGACACCAGCTGTTACTTACACTCTGACACCAGCTGTTACTTAACACTCCGACACCAGCTGTTACTTACACTCAGACTCCAGCTGTTACTTACACCACCAGACACTAGCTGTTACTTACACTCAGACTCCAGCTGTTACTTACACCACCAGACACTAGCTGTTACTTACACTCAGACTCCAGCTGTTCCTTAAACTCCGTCTCCAGCTGTGACTTACACTCCAACACCAGCTGTTACTTACACTCCGACACCAGCTGTTACTTACACTCCGACACCAGCTGTTACTTACACTCTGACACCATCTGTTACTTACACACCGACACCAGCTGTTACTTACACTCCGACACCAGCTGTTACTTACACTCCGACACCAGCTGTTACTTACACTCTGACTCCAGCTGTTACTTACATTTCGACTCCAGCTGTTACTAACACTCTGACACCAGCTGTTACTTACATTTCGACTCCAGCTGTTACTAACACTCTGACACCAGCTGTTACTTACACTCCGACACCAGCTGTTACTTTCACTACCGACTCAAGCTGTTATTTACACTCAGACTCCAGCTGTTATTTACACTCTGACTCCAGCTGTTATTTACACTCTGACACCAGCTGTTACTTACACTCCGACACCAGCTGTAATTACACTCCGACACCAGCTGTTACTTACACCACCAGATACCAGCGGGTCTTAAGCATGATAAACTGCCTGAATTACTCAAACAGGACATTATAGATATTTAGGCTATGAATGCCATGGACAGATTGTTGACGTCATCATTATCATGGCATGATAGTGATAATAAGAATTGTTTAAGGATGAGAGACAAACAGATTGAAAGATAATTAGTATAATTGAATTTTTTTCTGAGATGAACAGATTCCAAAGCGCATTATGTTGGATTTGCCTTTGTCCAGTTGGAATTCATATTGCCTATGATTGCCAAATGAAAGCATTTCAATACTTATATTTACAATTTTTGGAATCTGTTCATCTCAGAAAAAAATACAAATTATACTAATTATCTTTCAATCTGTTTGTCTCTCATCCTTAAACAATTCTTATTATCACTATTTCTAAAGAAGTAGTGAATGAATCTTTGTCAAATTTCATTTGTAGGATCCCTTTTATCTATAGTTGTGTAAGATCAATTTTGAGACTGCATTCTGAAGAACAAGACAGTCCCAGGCAGCCCTTTGGTATTTTGACAGTTGAATATCGATATTTATAAACTGTATCTTAGAAAGTCTACAGGGAGCTCGGCTGGATTTACGATCTCGCCTCCTTTGGTTTTTGTCTCGCTGCCTCTGAGTAATAGAAACGAGACGATTAAAGCTTGTCTGGTGGCAGCGGCGGCGGCAACATTAAGCTTTTGTATTTAAGTCAGTTTCACTGAAAGTATATGTGCTAGACCAACCGAACTTCGACCATAGATGCAACTTAGGCAGTACATCTCAACCCATACATCAAATACTGGATGCAGCCTTCCTTTCATGGTCCATTGACTTTGTCAGCATCTCAATCAACATTAAGCTTTTGTATTTAAGTCAGTTTCACTGAAAGTATATGTGCTAGACCAACCAAACTTGGACCATAGAAGCAACAACGACAATGTCAAACACAGCAGTGTGAAGTTTTGATAAAGATACGTCAAGATTCACGGACTGTTGACATGACGCGATCCAACAGTAAAGAGAGAGGTCAGACTTCCATATAAGTAATGAAGATCTTATGATAGTGGGTGCCAATCTTTATCTGTGATATCTCGTAAAGAAATTTTGTAAATACATACATAATTGTATTCTTATGTGAAACTGAACATTATTTTCTGTTTTCAGGTGTCAATGCCAGCAGAAACCTACTCTATAGTTTGTGGGGTCGACCACAATGTGGCTTTCTGTAAATCCTTTGTATGACCAGTGGGAACAGAATCCAATACTACAGACAATATAAAACTTCAGGAAATTACTGTGTGTTAGCCAGAATAAAGCATGAATTATAGGTTCTGATTTAGGATTGCTGGAAATATAGGCAGTGCCAAAAGACAATTCACTAAAATCAGACCCTCAAGCCACTGTAATACTTTATATGGAGAATCTGAGGTACAGAAATAATTCATTGTTCTGGTGGAGGTATTGAAAACCTACAGGATCCTAACAATAACAGCATACAGAATTCCAAGAATATCAATTAAAACTGATTTATTTTACAAGGATTATGAAAAAAAAAATCCAACTTGTGTTTCTCACTCTTGTTATCCTGGATGGAGGTGCACAATGGGTTTTAATGTGACAGAAAACCAAAGTACACAGAAAAAACCCACTAGTGGGGCAGGTGACCCAACGCCGTTTCTTGTATGATTAGGGAACTGAACCCTGTCCATCTTGGTGAAAGGCGAGTGTGTTATTCTCGGCGCCACCAAACCACCCTTAATATATATCTACAGGTTTCCGGGAATACAATATGGCAGCTGTCTTCTGTTAGTCAACCTTTACATTAAAAGACTACTACTAGTCCAGAATGTATAGAGGGATTTTGATTAAAATTGAAAGACAGAATCCCTGGGCCAGGGTGATTAAATTTTCAACAATCAAATGTTTTCCTCCCTCCTCCATGGGAAGAGGAGTACTCGATGCCCAGCAGAGTAAATATATGGATAAAACTATTTTAATAAAGGAAAACAGATTTAAAATTAATTCTGTATGAAACATCAAGAATTACTCAGACAGGTTTTATTTGATCCATATGGAATTAGAAGAACATGTACCTCATTTTATTTTAATAGCGTGTTTGTGTTAATGTATCAGAGATAAGTGAAAACCAAATGATTTATTTAGGCCTATGGGCCTCTTGTTAGATTTATATGCATTCAATGATTGAATGTAGAATCATAGGCGGTATAAATAACTATAAGTACTTGAATAAATGTTTTTATCATGCATGTCATGTCACTTTGTTTTACTTTAATTGCAAGGTGCCTGTAGATTGCTGAATTTTAACTCAAATATTTGATCATTATCAGTAAAACTTCCATTACACGTTAAATGCTAACAGGAAGCAATGTTTTTTGCAAAACGACTGTCAATCAATTGCGCTTTTCATGCAATTTCCCTGTAAAACAGTGTTCTAACTGTGTCAGACTTGATTACTGTCGCCTACTAGCTTCACACTAAAGACAATTTCCCTTTAAAAAAAGTGTTCTTACTGTGTCAGACTTGATTACTGTCGCCTACTAGCTTCACACTAGAGACATTTTCCCTGTAAAACAGTGTTCTAACTGTGTCAGACTTGATAACTGTCGCCTACTAGCTTCACACTAGAGACATTTTCCCTGTAAAACAGTGTTCTAACTGTGTCAGACTTGATTACTGTCGCGTACTAGCTTCACACTAGAGGGAATTTCCCTGTAGAACAGTGTTCTAACTGTGTCAAACTTGATAACTGTCGCCTACTAGCTTCACACTAGAGGGAATTTCCCTGTAAAACAGTGTTCTAACTGTGTCAAACTTGATAACTGTCGCCTACTAGCTTCACACTAGAGACAATTTCCCTGTAAAACAGTGTTCTAACTGTGTCAGACTTGATTACTGTCGCCTACTAGCTTCACACTAGAGACAATTTTCCTGTAAAACAGTGTTCTAACTGTGTCAGACTTGATTACTGTCGCCTACTAGCTTCACACTAGAG